CTTACTCCGTTGGCCGGCCGATCGCCGGAATCTTTCTGAAACTTAGCCCCTACGCTAAAATCAAATCCAATATTTTCCCCAAAAAACTCAAAACCCTTTACTTTTTTTTCATGATTATGTAAATTAATAATCCAATTTTTTTCCCTTCAGATTTCACTAATCCGTATACCTAATACTAAAATTTTCCATGGATTTCGTGGAACTGGAGGCAATTGAAGGTCTCCGGTGGTCATGGAATTCATGGCCAGTATCAAAATCCGAAGCTTCAGGTCTGATAATCCCACTATCTATTATGTGTACACCATTGATGCATTTTAACGAGCTCCCTGTACTTCCTTATGATCCTCTTATATGCACCCAATGCGGCGCCGTTTTAAACCCATATGCTCGTGTTGATTACCAATCGAGAATTTGGGTTTGCCCGTTTTGTTACCGGAAAAACCCGTTTCCAAAATCGTATCTTGGAATCAACGAAAACAATATACCTGCTGAGCTTTTCCCGACGTACAGTACTGTTGAGTATCATTTGGGGAAAAGGGGTTTAGCTCAAAATCCGAATTCGAGCTCTAATTTTGGAAATATGTCACTGTCATCGAAAATGCCTTCGTTTTCGAGTACTTCCTCGAGCTTGGATTGGGCGGGATATGGGATTGGCCCAGCGTTTGTGTTTGTTGTGGATGCTTGTACATCGGATGAGGAGCTTGGGGTGGTGAAAAATGAGCTTCTTCATGTGATTGCTCAATTGCCTGAAACTGCATTAGTTGGGTTGGTGGTATTTGATTCAATGGTTAGAGTTTACGATCTTGGTTTTGGAGAGTGCTGTAGAGTTGTGATGTTCCACGGTGAGCGTGAGCTTTCTTCTGAGCAGGTAAAATGTGACATATTATCTAAGCCTTTGTCAATGTGCTTGTCTAGTTCAGTTTACTAATGCATTCAATTAACAAAGAGCTGTTTTTCTTTCTGAAATATATTATACTGTTGAAGTATAACATATTCCCTAGTTATATCAAGGATAATGCAATTTAAACAGTGGTAGCTTTCCAAATGTTTGATGCATCAGGGAAACTACTAGAGAAGTTTGGGTTCAATGCAGAAATGCATGCTTCACTTGTTTTTGAGCTGTGGATCTCTGATTGAATCTTGATGCATTTCTTTCCGTAAGAAATGTGAGATGAATTAGCCTTTGTCGTTTGGGAATTAGTAAAAGGGGATAAAAAAGGAGGAACTTTAGAGTCGGGTGGGGGGCGAGCACTATACTTATAAGGAGAACAAGAAAGCTCCACGTTGAATTTTTAGTCTATTTCTTCTGATCCGCAAAGAAGAGTCGAAGGAAGTTTGAGGGACATTATTTTGAAGTTCTCAGTTCTGCATATGAATATAGGATCACTTTTATCAGACAAAACCTTTTAGTTAATGTTTAAAGACTAAATCAGTCAGCTGGCCTGTTTGCTCCACTTTGTATAGTGCACTTGTTCAGCACATCGTAAAAGTTCTAGCCAAACAGTTGTATTTAATTTGAAGGGAAGCAAGTGTGTGTTATGATGTGATGCACAAGAGGTTAGCTTAAGAGGAAGTGTTTTAGTGTCTTGAGGGCAGACGAGGCAATGCTTTCTGTAGTGTAGATTGAGATGGATTGGTCTTTGCTGTTATGGCTTCTCCTTCTACAACTTTTCATTGGTGTGATTTATATTAGGGATCTCATTGAATGAGTCCTATCTATGCCTTTATTCTAGTCTGAAGCTCCATGCTAACTAATGAACACGTGCTTGGCATCATTTTAAAAAATTTGGGACATTAAAGTGCTGCAGAGCCTCTATAACTATTTCAAATTTGGCAACATACCCTATAAAACATCTTCCATGACATGTAGCCACCTAAACATTTAAAAGGTAGCAACTGATCCCTTCCGTGAGTTTTTAACTAAGATCAACTTCAACTCAGAGAATTGTTGGAAATGCCAGCTTCTCCTATTCTCTTCTTGTCAATGCTCACCGTTTAGGAGTAGTCAGCCACTTCATTAGTTTTCCCTTCTTTTTCTTACTAGACTTCGCGTACTCTCTCCTTCAGTTCCTTCTCTAACCCGAGTTCTAATTTGCTTTTGTGTTTCTTTCTCGTGAATTTCCACTTTTCCCCACTTTTTTCTTGTTTCTTCCATCCCACTTCAATAAGTATATGCTCATCTTTCTCTTCCCCTCTCCCCCTTGTTCTTTTCTCCATATCTCTTCTCGCCATCTTTTTTTGACATCCGACGCAACATCCCCACCTTCACACGCTAGTGAAATCTTGTTTCTCAGCAAACCACCAACCAA